CACCTGTTTTCTTAAAGCTTTGTGCCTTCACTTCTGTGTTCAGATAAATGGTTACCATGGGCCCATCAATTGTGTCTCCTGGGGGACCCCAGGGTTTTCTCCCTGTTGCTGTCACCCCAATTAGGCAGACTAGCACACCACACCCTTGCTTGCACTCACAGTAAACACAGTGAAAACCCAGTCTGTGGGGAGGCCACTGGTTTGCCTGAACTTCTCATTAACATAGCTGTTGAAGTGCTCCATCCGCCAGACTGTCTCATCCTTCTGCTGCCTGTACAGGGGGTTCTTCTTCTGCACGTGCTGGGAGGTGGGCAAACAGGGCAAAAGGAGAGTCAGATTGCTGGAACAGGCTTGCACATCAGGCATCCAACCACCCTGAGTTGGGCTGAACCCCAGGATCAAGTGGTAGAAGTGGAGGGAGCAGAGCCCCACCACCAGCAGAGCTGACCCCCACTGCCCAACACACCCACAGGGATATTGCCCAAGGTCTCTGTCCCAGCAGGGTTTTCTCTGGGTGGATGGGGGTTTTCTCTGGCCAGGGGCTGCCAGACAGGCAGAGCAGCTTTCAAATCAGAGTCATGATATTCTCAGGGCTAAATCTGGTTCTGTGTCTTATCTCCCAGAGGACAGTAAATCTAGGAGAGATGTCTGGGTGTATTTTCTAACCCTAACCATTCTACTTCCAGCCCTGTGATTCCCAGAGGAAACCAAGGTGAAGGCTTCTCCCTTCCACTGCCTCATTAATCCCTGTGTCAGCCAGAGTTTATCAATAATGGGGCATTTACACTTTTCCATCAAAGGGAAGCCCCCTGTCTGTGTTCAGCAGCTTGGCTGCAACTCTGTCTGTGGAGAGGAGGCTGCAAAGCCTGTGGTTAGTGCTGCTGCCTCTTGTCTTTTGCAAAATACAGCAGGAAAATGGCTGATTCCAGGTGGGATGAAAGGGTAGGAAGGGCATGAGAGCAGAATCAACTGTAATTTGAAGAAGTCTGGTAATAACCAGCCCCTCCTGTCAATTCTGTTTCCCTCCTCCCAGCAGGAACCCAGATAATTGATGTTCTGCTAATAAACACCTGTCCTTTGTTTAATATCACTTGTGCCATGGGATCCGAGCTCAGCACCTGAATTCCCGTGTGGATAAGTCTCTAGCTGAGCAAACAAACTATTCCAGGAAAACAAGTGGCACACTGATAGCAGCAGATCCTGCAGGAAGCAGCTCCAACCTGCTGTGCCACAGGAGCTGTACAACTCCAGCTGAAAGGGGCTGGTGTGATCCCTCCCAAATGTGGATTTTGCAGGTTCTTGGAACAGGGCATCACACTGGAAGTGAGGAGCTCTAAGAGCAAACTTTTCTTCCTTCTGGTTCTTTTGATTCTCTTTCATCAGGGGCTCATTTGAAGTAGCAGATCTGAGCAAGGCAGCAAACAGAGGTGGATGGGGGGGAGGCAAAACAGAGCAGTCTTGTTGTGTCACACTCTCGTCTGAGTAGCAAGACAAGCAAAGATGGAGATTTAAGGATTAGGGAGAACACATCTGCATCTTCCATCCTCGTGATTGTATTTCAGCACAACAGGAAGAGCAAAATCCCCAGCCAAGAGAAAGGCTCCTTTGTGCCAGGCAGCTGCAAGCAGAGGCTTCCTGCCCTAAGAAGCTTATGGTCTAGAGACACCTGAGAGAATAATGGCAGGAAAAAGAGGTCCAGAGAGAGAAATGGGCAGGTTAAGCAAAGAATTGGTCTGTGGGGAAGGGGACCTGATCCACTGCAGCTTCTGTTCAGCCTTGTTGCCATCCCTGACCATCACCTCCATTTCCTGGCTGCACGTGCCATGTCTGTTCAGCCTTTCAGAAGCCTCTTGTTGCTTCCCACCTCTTGCCACACCCTCCCCTCCTTCTGAACCGAGTGACCTCAGCTTACCTGGTTGGTGAGGTGAACAGTCAGGTCCTCAGATGAGGCATCATAGTTGCCACAGGTCAGGCGGACGTAACCCTGGGCAAAGAAGAGCAGGAAAGGTGCTGTGCAGGCAACCAGCAGGTAGGACCTGACATCAAACTTCTTCCCTTCCAGGAGCAGAGGCTGGTGAATGTACCTGGCAAGGCAATATTGCAACACGTGTCACCCAGGGGCAGTTCCAAGCTGGCACCAAACCCAAGGGTTAGTTCCACACCACAGGACTTGTTCAGCCTGGTTTGGGGTTGGGAGGCAGCAGATGGCACTGGGAGCAGAGGTTAGAGATGCCCAGAGCTCCTTCCGTGGGGAATCGAAGCTCCTGGGAGTGGGAGGTAATTAAAGATTTACTAATGTTTACTGGAGAATATACAAAGTTAATGTCTGAGCACAAAGAGCCCTTCATGCAGCACCACTGCCTTTCCTGCCAGGGTGAGGGCACCTGGGAATTGTTTCCCTTTATCATCAGAGGCTGCTGGATGTCCAGGTCCATGAGAAGGATGGAGTTGCAGCAGCTTTCAGGGGAAGGAGGAGCCTGGCTCTTCAGAGCAGAAGTCATTCCTAACTAATAGCAATGAAGATGAGATCTAAGACCCAACCCCTTCTTCCCCTGGCCCTGCTGGCCCGTGTCAAGGACCACATACTGGTCCAGCTGGTGTTTGGCTCCAAGAACTGGCTGCACACACACAGCCCAGCCTGTTGCAGAAACCTGGAGGGTCCTTGCTCCTGTTGACTATTCTACAAAACCTCTTTCAGTGAGGCCAATGAGAAGAAATGCCTGGATAATAGAAGCAAGCAGAGGATATTGCCTGCTCTGCCTGGGGCAGCTCCTGGGAAGGCTGGGCCCTCTTGTAAGGGGAGGCTGCCAAGCAGAGGGGCAGGTTGAGGAACTGGTACCAACTCTTTGCCCTGATCACCACCTGGCAGGACGTGCTACGATGCTGCAGTGTTTGTCACCAGGTTGTCACAACAATGCCAGGCCATGCTGTGCACCCAGGGGCAGTTTAGAGGGTGCTCAGGGTGCTGTGCACACACCAAAGGCAGCATCAAAGGCACCTGGGAACTGCAGCTCCCAGGATAAATAAGGACAACATCTTTTTTTGCATTTCTCTTTGAAAATTGATTCACTCATCTCAAAGCACTGAAGGGATTTCATTATTGTGCATTCCTCAAGTGAGGGAGGAACACAGGCAAAGGGAAGCCAAGCAGGCAACCTTCAGTAGCTGAAACTGTTCTCATCACTCCTGCTGCCTTCTTTTTCCCTTCCTTTTCCTGCTGTTCTGCTGCTCTACCAAATGTTCTACAGTGGCTGAGAAGTGATATGTTCTGCAAAGGGTGGGGGGAACCTCTGTGGTTCTTTAATTCATGCAAGGAGTTAAAAAGTTAACCCTAACCCAAAGTAGCTGCCTGGGATTGAGCTCTGGGCTTTTGGGGCAGAATGAGGGATGTATTTGGGAGACTTGGTTAGATTGCATGGAACAGATATTCTTATAAATGCTAGCTCTGAATGAGAAGCTGTGATAATATCTAATTTAAATGCCTTTATGTATAGAGCTCATGTAGAGCTCTGAGGCATCTGGCCTTGTCAAGTCATTCTTACATTTCCAGACAGTTAAACTCCAACCTTGCTGCTGACAAAGATCTACCTTGAAATGACTGAATGGTGGATGCAAGAGAGACTAACCAGAGAAACAGTCTCTCCCTCAAAAGGAGATCTCATTAAACACCTGTGGACCAATTAATCAAGGACACTGCTCACAGATGAGTTCCCAGGCTTCCATCTCTACCTTTGCACTATCCTTGCCTGGGGAGGCTTGTGTGGCTGGTCCAGCAGGCAGCCCGTGGAGCTCTGCAGCTTGGCTTGCAGGGTGTTGACAGCAGCAGGGATTTTAAGCAGGAAAATTCCTTGGCCTTGGTTAGAGCAGCTTGGTTTGCAGATCCAAATCTCTTCTTCTGCAGAGAGAGAATGAGCCTGTCACAGTTTTGTGTGTGCTGAGAAACACTGGTGTGCCTGTCAGCAGGCCCTGCATTGAGCATCAACATGCATGGAGGTGTCAGTCCTTACTGATATTGTCTATACTTTTGATGAGCAGTTTAGAGGACCACACAGCTGTCTGAATTGGTTGCCACCATGATCAAGACAATTCACCTTTGCAAAGCTCAAAGAAAGCATTTCTGTCATCTTTTAAGTCCAGACGAAAAGATTCTGGGAAGAATTCTTTCATCTTCAGTAACCTGTGGGAGAAGCAAACACAGGCTGAACACTCTGTCCAACACATTCCTTCCTTTGGTACTTTCAGAAGTGATGGTTGCAAGTAGAAACTTCAGAAATGGCTTTTCCCCCCTCCCCCTGCTTGTAGGCAGTTGTGTGTTTGTTGTATGTTTTTGCTCATCCCATAAGCTTTCAGGGCAGTGAACCTTCAGACATCCTTCACAGGCTCACTGTTTGGAAGACTAGTTGAGAGGGCTGCAGGTAACCAGGGTACAGGGCTGCAGGTAACCAGGGTACCAATTGCCATTGGGTGTTCTTGGCAGGTCAAATGTATAAGAGCAGAACTACAAAATAAGCTTCTATTGTATTTACAGGGTCTATGGCACAAGAAGTTGGGGCCTTTCCAGTAGGAAGATGTACCCAGAAGAAGGGAATGACCATGATTGTTGTCTTTGGAGGACCTGGCACTCCTAAAACTCCAGAGCTAGAAAAAGAAGGAATTCTGTCTCTGCTGCAAGTTCTGGGGGGGAGGGAGGGAAATGATTTTTCTAGAAGATAAGGAAGAAAGAAAACCCCATACACTTCGTATCCTGTACTGTTATGGACCCAGAAGAAACCAGCCCCTTGTTTGTGTGCTCTGAGCATCTGGTCAAGGTTCAAAGAGGTGAGAGCTCTTACTTGGCAGGAGAGCTCCTCCTGCTCCTTTTCATGGCCCTCTCCTGCTCCCTCAGGCAGCACAGGAGCCCTATCTTTGTGGTGAGGACTTCATTGTTGGGAATCTGGTAGAGAAGCTGCTCACCTGGATGAGAGGGGGAGAAAAAAACAAAAGCTGGGATGGAGCAGCCTGGGAAATCAGCACCAGGTTGGCATCAGAGCTGGCAGGTGGGAATTGTTTCCCTTTATCATCAGAGGTTGCTGGATGTCCAGGTCCATGAGAAGGATGAAGGGCAGCTGCTGCACACACAGGCTGGGAGGTGGCAGCAAAGCTCCCCAGGAAAGCCCACCCAGCTCAGGGTGCTCAGGGCACAGCTCTTGACCAGCTCCCAGAAGCAGGAGAGTTGCCCCAGGGACCTCTCTGCTTGTTGCACCAGCTCTGGGAGGGTTGCTGTGCTTCTCTGGTGGGAAAGCTGGCTGAGCCCTGGGAAGTCAGGATGCCCTGGTGAGAAGAAGGGTGGAGAGCAATTTAAACAGATTATTGCTCATACACTGAAGTAGTTTGGCTTTTAGTGACTCTTCTCTCCCTACAGAGAGCTGGGCCTGGGGTGTGTGGGGTGACCTATCTTGAGCTGACTTTATTTCTGTCCTTCATTTCACTGTACTTAGCTCATTTCAATGGTGTCTTTTCTTCCCCAAGCTGTTTAGCTGTGTCTAAACCCCTTTCTCTAATCACCAGAAGCAGCTTTGATGTCTCCTCTGAGATGTGCCAAGAGGTCCAGGTGACCTGTTTCTCCTGCTCCCTAGGTCACCTCCTCTGCCCTGGGAGTCACAAGTCCAGCATTCCCAAGTTTTGCCCACTCCCCTCTCCCACCCGAGGCCCACAGGCAACTCTACCTTCTTTGAAATGGTAATAGGTGTCTCTGCTCTTGGTTTCACACCATTTCAGTGCATAATCCTCCCTCCTGTTGTCATAGATACGTTGCCAGCCTCTGCTCTGGCAATAGATGCTCACACTGCACATGGAAAAGAAAACAGCCTGTTGCTTATGAACAGATACTTGGAGCTCACACCCCTTGAACTCATCAATTTAACTCTTCCAGCCTGATCTCACAAGCCCCTGGGGTGGGGGATGAGGTGAGAAGTATTAATTAGAGTGTCTTGCTCATGGCCCTGCTGGTCTGGAGGGTGGAGGGAGTGACTGAGGGTGCAAAGAACCCTGTGATTCAGCAGCTCTAATGAGAACAGGTCCCATTCCAGCAGGGGGGTTCCAATTAGGATGCAACTGGTACCCCTGGAATAGGGGTTCAGGATGGTGTCTTAATAAGGAGCCTCTCCTTTTAGGGAGAGATGACAAGTAGCAAGAGAACAAGCTGTTTGTGGGCAAAACTGTGGGAACATGGCAAGGCAAGTGCTGTTTGCAGCACAGATGCTGTGGTGCTTGCTGGTGTCAACATCTAGAGAAGAATGCCAGGAGGCTGGAAAGGACTCAGGAAGGAAGGGAAGGAACTTCCCATCTGAGAATCTCCCTTGGGCAGAGCTCCCTTCTTCTTTTCCCCTTGTTTTACATCTAACACATGAATGTTGATCAACAGCAGTGGTTCCCAGCTCCTGGTGTAGCTGAGTCATTTCTGAACAGCCCCAACAGAGCAACTTTCATTCACCAAATGGAAGTATTTCCTTTCTTTCCAAAGATCTAGTAGTTTGCTACTTGACCATAGGTGGCCTTCCAGGAGATACTTTCCATTTCAATTATCTTTAAATGGTTCCCCAGGTTCCCCACTCCAAAAAGACAGCAAACCCAAGAAAACCTGCTTGAGGCAAAGTATTTGAGGCAGGTGGATAGTGGGTAATATTGAATTATTTCACACTGCTGTTCCTATGAGTTACTTACAGCTCAGCCCCATTGGGTCCACTGATGTAAAAATATGGTCCTGGTCCCACTGGTGTTTTTGGTATCTTTTCTTCTGGTTGTTTTTGCTGAGGACTTGCCTTCTGCTGTGTTCTCTTCTCACCAGACCTGACTTGGCCAAGCTCCACGGCAGCAGCTGCAAAATTGGAGATGGAGAAACTTCAGCTGATCTGGGATCTTCTCCATAAAAACCACATCTGGAAAGGCAGCTGTTAGAGAAGCAGATCCTGGAAGGTAAGGGACCACTGGTTTTATAGCCACCACTAGAGTCATTGTCCTAGATCAATTCAGAAATGACTGCTCATGTCACCTGGTAGCAGGCACCATGGTGTAACAGGTTGGACAACAGAGGGAATGCAATCCATTATGTAGCAGAGGGGAACATTGCAATCAGCCTGTCAGTGCTAAATGGCATTGTCTGTCTTGGCAGGCCTCTGCTTCATGGGAGTTTCTCAGGCACCAGGTTGGATCTAGATGATCTGCAGGGTCCCTTCCAACCCAAGCCATTCTATTCTTCTATGATCTTGTCTAGGTGGGGCTCAGTTCTCTCCTAACATATGTAGGGTTGATACTTCCATGGGCTGAGGAACTGCCCCTGGCTTCTCTTCCACTTGGCTCTGCACTACACTTTTGGGATCAATAAAGCCTGTCAAGACAAGAAAGAAATCCCCTCTGTCCTAGATCTGTTCCCACTGGGATGAGGTGGTAGCAAGGAAGGAGGGAGCAGGATGCAAGCAGATGGCACAGCTGGACTTACCTTTTGGACCTTTATCACTTTTTATAGTACATCCTGTGCTCAGAGGAGTCAAAACTGCCATCTCAGTGACAAAACTCTTGAGTGAAGTGGAGCAAAGGCACTGGCCATTGTTCCCTCTCATTTTACAAGCACTTGTTTGATGTCTTGGTTGTGCTCCACCTATGAGCACAGGTGCAGTCCCTGTGAACTGTGCCCACAGGTACTGCCCTTCCAGCAGGCTCACCCACCTGGGTCAGTTTGCTTGGGAATAAAGGAAGCAGATTGCAAACTCTTGGAGGCAGAACTTGCCTTACATTTCTGCTCCATGTACTTGACACCAAAGGGTTCTACCAGTCAAAGCCTCGTTACAAACTGCAGCATTACCAGTAATTACCAGTATTACCTGGACTCCTGCCTTGAATTTCCTCCTTAGATTAAACCCAAACCAAAAGCACACACTAAACCACCAGCTGAAACAAGCCAGGGCAGCAGGTTGCAGAGGAACTGCCTCTGCAGTGTCCTGGAACCCCCTGAACTCAGCTTCTTCCATAGGGAATTCCCAGCTGCCTCTTACAGGTTTTGTGGAGCTGAGACTCTGCTTCCTCCCTGCTGGGTGCTGGGACAGTTAAGTCCCCAGCCTGGAGCAGTGCCTGGCTCTTGGCTCACTTGGCCATCCCAGCACCAGAGCAGGTGAACACAAAACACACCCTGGCTTCCTCTAGAAGAGCCTCTCATCAGAGACTCAGTCCAATTTATTTGAACAAGCTGTTTGAAAGCAGCTCGAGGACAGGGCTGATGTACAGGGAGCAGCATCTTAAGGGACATGCAGAAAAGTCCTCCAGCTCCATCCTTTCCTACACCCACTTCATGAAAAGGTTGTACCACAGAGTGGCACCACCCCTCCAGCTGCTGACACCTTCCACCAAGGAGGCTGGTTCCTGTTGCACTAGTGCTGCTCTCCTTACTCTTTGATACGGGAATGCAAATATTTATTGATCTATTTTTAACATTGCTCATTCCTACCTCCTGCCAGAGCTTTTGGGCCTTTTATCACTACCTGCCTGGCTTGAATTGCTAAGAAATTAACCCATTTTAAGCATTCCCATTTATCCTGAGCCCTGGAATGGACATGGAATACCCTGCAATTAGTCTGAACATGTACTTGTCTCTCCCTCTGATCTTTGCTATTAGACCAAGGGGTGGGAGATTTTCATCTTCTCTTCTGTCTAGTGATGGAATCTCCCAGTCTTGAAGATGCATTTTGTTTCACTGAATCTTTTGAGGTGTTATTTAAGTCCCCTTAGACTTGATTTGTTTGTGTGCTTGGATCCTTAGGTGGCTAATCAGTGAAGAGGTGAGGGATGGAGGGGGTGATGCCCATTGCCTGACTGCAGAAATTTCAGGCAAGAGCTTCTTGATCAGAGGTGGGATGAGGTGCTTGGGGAGGGGGTGATGCCCATTGCCTGACTGCAGAGATTTCAGACAAGAGCTTTTTCCCTTCTTGATCAGAGGTGGGATGAGGTGCTTGTTGGGACTGGAGCTCCTGGGATGGAGCAGGCAGAGTGGCTTGGCTTGCAGCCCCCACCAGGGGCAGGTATTTCAGAAGCTGAGTTTGTCCTCTGAGCTCAGCTCAGTTGTCCTGTCCAAAAGGTGCTCCTGGTGGGGACAGAGGGGACAGAGCCCCATGACAAACTGCCCCCCAGCTCCTCACACAAACCAGCAGCATGCAATGGAACAGGATGCTTCCCTTACAAAGATGTTGCCTTCACACTGGGTGCAGCCAGTAAATGACATTCCTGGAGCCAATTTAGAATTCAGCTCATTAATTTCTGGGGGAATTGGGTGTTGGCAGGGTCTGGGTGAGAAGCTGCTATCTCAGCTCAGCTCTGCTCACTGGCAGGGAGGAGCAGCCTGCTCTGTGTCATTTGCTCCCAAAAGAAAAGGGAAAATATATATTAAAAAGGCAGAGCTTGGAACACAGAACTTCCTTTTCCCCTCTTCTGTGTGCAGGAAGGTTTAGCAGAATAGCTGGTTTCTTTAGGAGCCAGAGTTTAAATCTAGCTGAGATTTTCATTGAAGAAACCTAAATGATCTGAACGTCTTCCTAAATATCTCTGTATTAAAAAGGTTTTCATTTTAAACAAAGAAAATACATGTTTATTTTACTGCTGATGCCCAGAGCTGAGTTCAACAATTAATAGGTCAGAAAAATAACACTGTTTGTTGGTGCTGTCACTGAAAGATTTGGGGCATTTCAGCCTAATTCTCTGGCTTCTTTTTGGAGGAACTGCTTGTGTTTTTCTTCAGGTTTTCAACAAAACACCTAAAATGTCACTCTAAAAGATTTTCCTTTCACTAGATACTTGCCAGCCAGTGTCAAGAATTTCTTGATTCTTAATAGCAAAATGGATGGGCTTGTTTTTTCACAGAGTTTAAATTAAAATGGTGTGAATGATGTGCAATAGGCCTGTAGTTCTTGCCAGCAGGATGAGAAGATAAAACACCCTTGATAACTGAGAGCCTGGTCATAGGACTGGGCACAAGGAATAGCTGAGAAGCAGGGTGCCAGGCTCACCTCTGCCAGCTGGTTGCTGGTCACCTCCTTGCCCCATGGGTTTGGTTTTCCTCCTCTTGCTTGGCCCAAAGGCCATCTCACCTGCCCTGCAAGAGGAATGGTGATGGTCAGAGCCAAGAGCCACCTGGGCAAGTTGGCAAGGTGCTCTTTTCTCTTTGGCTTCTGCTGGTTGCAGATGCCATTTCCCACCAGCTTTTCCCATTCCTTCAGAATGCTGGTTTTGGCACAGTTGTGTAGCTGGGAACAGCCAAGCTCTGCTTCTTGTCTTGGGTGGTGACTGTGCTGATCTGAGTGCTTTAGGAGCTCATCTCCCTGCTCTTGGGCACTTGCAGTCAGTGACTTCCCTGAGCCTGCTGCTCGTGGTGGAGATTGATCCCCTTATCATAGAGTGATAGAGCCACATCATAGAGTGGGGAAGGTTGGAGGGGACCTTAAAGATCATCCAGTTCCAACCCCCCTGCATGGGCAGGGACACCTCCCACCAGCCCAGGCTGCTCCAAGCCCCATCCAACCTGCCCTTCAACACTGCCAGGGATGGGGCAGCCACAGCTTCCCTGGGCAACCTTTTCCAGCACCTTCATACCCTCATGGGGAAGAATTTCCTCCTGAGGTCTGACCTGAATCTCCCCTCTTTCAGTTTAAAACCATCCCCCCTCATCCCATCCCTCCCTGCCCTTGTCCCAAGCCCCTCCCCAGCTTTCCTGGAGCCCCTTCAGGCCCTGGAAGGTGCTCTCAGGTCTCCATTTGGGGCTGGAAAATTCACTTCTAACGTCCCACTAGGGATGCAAAGAGGGTTGGTTGACAAGTCAGCTCTGCTGGCCCAAACTGCAGGGAGACCAGAGAGCCCCCCTGTTCAGCCACCACTTCCAGCCCCACCTTGCAGGGACCAAAGCCCAAGGACTGAAAGCTCTAACCTGTGCTGGGCAGCTTCTAAACACCAGAGCTTTGAACTTGCTCTTGCCTTCAGCTCAGAGAACGTGCCCTTGACTCCCAGCCAGGCCATGAGCAGCTTCTGCAGCAGCTGGGGCAGCTTTGGGGTGGGGAGTTTGGGAACTTGGGGGGTTCTCAGCAGCAGGAGCAGGGGCTGAAACTGCCCTGGCTGCTTTAGGAAGGGTTCGAGGTGCCCGGGAGGGCGCTATAAACACCAGCCCTTAGCAACGGCTGCCTGGCTGCTGCTGGGGATGCAGGGAATCTGCTGGGAATGCAGGGAACTCTGCTGGGAATGCAGGGAATGCTGCTGGGAATGCAGGGAATCTGCTGGGAATGCAGGGAACTCTGCTGGGAATGCAGGGAATGCTGCTGGGAATGCAGGGAATCTGCTGGGAATGGGGCAGGCTCTGCTGGGAATGGGGCAGAAGGCTCTGCTGGGAATGGTGCTGGGAATCCTGCTGGGAATGGTGCAGGGAATTCTGCTGGGAATGGTGTTGGGAATTCTGCTGGGAATGGTGCAGGAGGCTCTGCTGGGAATGGTGCAGGGAATTCAGCTGGGAATGGTGTTGGGAATTTTGCTAGGGAAGGTGCAGGAGGCTCTGCTGGGAATGGTGTTGGAAATTTTGCTAGGAATGGTGCAGGAGGCTCTGCTGGGAATGGTGCAGGGTATTCAGCTGGGAATGGTGTTGGGAATTCTCCTGGGAATGCAGGGAATTCAGCTGGGAATGGTGCAGGGAATTCTGCTGGGAATGGTGCTGGTTTGGGCTGTTTCTCCAACCTGAATCTCTACCCACACGAGTCCATCCCTTGCCAGTTTTAGGACTAACTGAACCATTTGATGATTTTTGCAAGATCTCCCTCTCACAGGAGCCTCCCCCCCCCCCAGCTCTGCTGTTATTGACCATTAATTACCTGAGGGCAGTGAAAAGGGACTAAAACAATGGGACCTTGTGTTGTCCAGGCAGCCTCTCTGAGCTCCCAGACTGGCACTAAGAAAGGGGTTTGATGCTTATGGAACCTCAGGTGAGAACAAAAAGATAGAAAGAGCCTTAAATTCCTCCCTCTACATAGGTTTTTTTTCTATCCTTCAGCTGCAGGAGCAAAAATTAAGGTGTTTAGGGGTTTTTTTGTGACTTCAGCTGGATCTGCACAAAGTGGAGCTCATCTCCAGGGTCTGAATTTCCTCCCAGGCCATTTCCCACGTGCATTTCTTGGCCTATCCAGGGAATTCCAGCCCCATTGAACCAGCAGCCCCTGAGATCTGCTGTGTGAGGAGGGAGATTCCCCTCCCAGGGCACATGGAAACCACAAGGGGGGTGAAAAATCCAGCCCTAAACTTAAGTGTCTTCTCCTGGGGTAATGGAAAAAAAAAAGGAAGGAGGGGGGGGGAAAAAAGGGATGGGGGAAGAAAAAAAAAAGGATGAGAAAAGTTGATGGAAGGTGGAATTTTGGCCTGGATTCAATCTCTCTCTGCCTTGGCCCAGCCTCCTCCAGTGTGGCTGTGCCAAGCAGTGTGAATGCCCTGGCACTGCTCCCCAACGGTCACCCTGACCTTCAGGAATGTTCTCCCATGTTTTCCTGCTTGGTGCACAATGGCTGGGATCAGGGAGGGCTCCTGGCCTGGCTCTACCTCCCACTCTCCTGGATTACCTCTGAGGGCCAAGCCCAGGCTGTCTCTGGTCTCAGAAGGAGCAGCTCCTAGTGGGGTCGCCAAGACCTTCAGCAAATTGTTCCCAGCTTCTGGGAATTGTTGCCTCCTTGTTGGAGAAGGGGAGAGGGTTGTGGAGCTCAAGGAGCCACTTTGTTCACCCCAGACCTTCATCTGGGCTGCTGCCACTTCCCTCTGTGTGCAGGGAAATGAGATGGTCCTCAGCAAGTTGCCAGAGAAGACTGAACCCTCTGTGTGGTCTGTGCTTTGGGGCCATTTTCTTGGCCCTTTGGCCACCCCTTTGTCCAACCTTTTCCTCTTGGGATCTGCAGGGCTAAGCAGGTAACCCAGAGGTCAATCATAGAGCAGAATCACAGAATGGTGAAGGTTGGAAGGGACCTTAAAGATCATCATGTTCCAGCCTCCCTGATGAGGTTCTTTGGGTGGGAGGGGGAAGGGGCATCTCCCACCTTCTCCCCAGCTTTCCATGAATCCTGCACCAACACAGGTGGCCTCTGAGTTCTGTCCAACTTGATTTAAGAGTCATTAGAGTAAGAAATGACACAGTGACCACATCATCCTTATTCTCTTGGAAAACCAGGCTCCAAAAGAGCCTAGGAAAGGGTGTGGGTGGGCAAGCACAGGCAGAGACATCAACCCAGGTGCTGAATTCAGTGCTCCTGTGTCTTGATGTACAACCAATACTTGAGTCTGTTTGGGAATCAGGCAGTGGGACCATTTGCTGCTGCATTTGGTCTGTTGCAGTGCTTAAAGTTGGGCTGTTTTGCTGTGAAAGGCCTGTTCACAGTGAAGTCTTAGGGGATCTGTGCCAAACAAAGTGTAACAAACTAGTCCCTGGACTACAAAATACATCAAGCTTTATGTAAGGAGTGTGTTTCTGCTGTAGAGGATGCAATTATAAGGTTGTAATGTGGGGTTTTTTTCCAGGTTCTGGTGAGATCCAAGCTGTGAAAGTGCTGAACAAAGAGCTGAAGGACCTGATGTCACACACCAACCTGTGCTGCAGGTAGAGGAGACAACAGGTCTCAGAGGGTCAGCTTTTGTAACCCCCCAATGGACTGACTTCTCCAAGCTGCTGTGGAAGGAAGCAGGAAAAAGCAGGTGGGGGGTGTTTCCTTGCTGACAATCTTCACTGAGGGGATATTGTGCTTTGTGATGCTTCCCTCTGTCAATAGATGCCACCTGAGGACAGGAAGCTGCTGTCTCAGTGGCTCCTGAGCAGCAAGATTCCATCCAAAAGCCAAACCCCAGTGCTCAGGGCACAGCCAGGGCTGGGCACAGGCTTCAGGTGTCCCTGCCCATGCAGGGGGGGTGGAACTGGATGGTCTTGAAGGTCCCTCCCAACCCAAACCATCCCCTGATTCAGCCACGGGGCAGCAGCCTGGGAGGTTTCACCTTGTGCTGCTGGTGGGAGAGCAGCCCTATCTAGACCATCTCTTCCATGCAAAGATGCTTTAGGAGTGACTTAATGTGCTGGTGGTGCCCTTTTTCCACAGCTTAACTGGAGGGTCAGAATGGGGCAGGTCTCTCAGAAAACAATGTTTTCCATCATGCTTGGAGGCTGCTTCCCCCACCACCTCCCCCCCCTGCACACACAGAGGGATTCCCAAAGCACCTGGGGAGCTTCAGCTCAGCAAGGTCAGTTCCCAGGCAGGTTTATCCCCCAGTTTGGCACTGCTGGTTCCCACCAGTGGTTTTACAGAGGCTGCTTTTTACAGCACAGAGGGAGAAACCCTGGTGCAGGCAGGTGGGAAGGGCAGCACGTGGGATTTTAGTGATGTGCAGCAGGATCTGAGGGGGTCAGAAGGCAATGATCTCCCTCCTGGCCCAGGCTGCCCAGGGAGGTGGTGGAGTCACCAGCCCTGGGTGTGTTGAAGGGTGGTTTGGGTGTGGTGTTGGTGGTTTAGGGGAGAACTTGGTAGAGCTGGGATGATGGTTGGACTGGGTGATCCCAAGGGTTCTGAGTGGTTCTGGAAGGGTTCTGGAACTCTGAATGATTCTATGGATCTGCAAGAAAGCCACTGTGGGAGGCAGGAAAAATCACACACTCTTCTAGATTCCCATTTTCTCACATTTAGGATGGAAACCCCCCCAAGATTTACCTGCTGGGGTAACGGGTCATTCTAAATATCTTGGGTATGTTATTGAAACAAGGCCTTCTTGGGCACCCCCAGGTGTGTGGTCCCCAGCCAGCATCAAGCTGCAGGCACAGTGTGGAGGTTTCATGCCAGAGGGAAAGTCCTAGGAAGCCCTGCAGCTCTTATCAGCTTTCCCAGAGCAGCTTATCAGCCTGGCCCTGGCCCTGGCTGCACAGCAGGCACGAAAGCCACAGGCTCAGGGAAATTAATGATTAAGCCCAGATCCTGCAACAAAGCTGAGTGAGGAGGAGGAGGCAAATCCCTCCAGGTCCAAACATGAAACCCAGGGTTGCACTGAGGCCACTCAAGCAGCTTCAGCCTGGGGAGGGTCCAGCACTT